GGAATGACTAAAATAAAGAGAGGACCAAGCAGATGTGAATACCATGCATCTTATCTGCTGTTGATAAAAGTGCTGATCTAGGTGAGACTCCTCTGGCTCCATACTAGCCCAAGAAGGAGACAGCATTAGGCATAAAGTTCTCTGTCACCTGAAGTTGTAACGTACTCCTGCTCACTGAGATTACACATATAGGAGTGGAGCCTGGGTTAGGGGAAGACATGGGGGAGGTACTACAGGTCTTACGATAAACTGACTCTCATTTTGCAACAGAAGGTACACAGAAAAGAAACAAAGAACAGCTGCAATGACCCTTAAACACCTGTGAAAGTTTGCATCCTGAAGCCTGGAAAAGTGAACACAGAATACAGAAATAGAACAAATATTTTAAAAGACTTTACACAGGTACATAAAATTTCACTGATTTTTTCAGCTACTTATTTCCCGATCCACAAAGGAATAATAATGGGGGTATTACTGCAGTATGGGGCAAAGTATTCTTTTCCCCTTTAGCTTATCTATCTAGACCACAAATAGCCTGAGGACAAGATTCAAGGGTTTATCTACCATTTATAGTAATGATACTTCTAGCTTTGTGCAATCTGGATACATCTTGACACAAAAGGGATTTTGGAAATCAGATCCTAATAATTACTTGAAATATTCTAGTCTGCATTACTGGCAAAAAATTTTGGCAAAAATGTGTCAGTTAAACAAAATCATGTAACTTGTAAAAAAACACAACAATGTAGGCACCTGACATTTTTAACTTTTTATCAGCATATCGATGGCTCTGGCAGAACAACTTAAACTCTGTTGTTTGGTTTGTTTAGAAACAATAGTAGTGATTACATAGATTAATGTGGACTGTTTAACAGCTAGAAAAACTCTGAAAAGTACCAACAAGGCACTATAAACTTGCATCACATCTACCTTGGTCAGAAGGACTGTGCTCAAGCCTTTTAATAAATCCTGTCCCAAGTGCCACCGGAGAGACTGAAATATGAAAAATCCTAAATCCAAACAGACAACCAGAAAGGATGTCACAAATTGGTTTTTTAAATGCAGAATGTTTTTTCAGTGAGGAAGGGACTCCATGACAAGAATAAAGGACAGCCTGGGGGAAAGGGTGCCAAAACAAATTTTTAACTCCCCGAGGGTAATGCACAACTCTAGGGATCTGCTAGAATAATTAGGACTCTGAAAGGGGAAGTTGCATTCAGGTGGCTTTTTGTCATAGCTGTTCTGTACAGGTCACTGTCGCATGTCGTATATATGATTACATCATAATGTATGATTAATAAGTTCTTTGCAAGATTTATTTCTAGGTGTAGCTCTCAGAAATCCCCCAAATAAAGCTTTGACTCCTTGTTATAGCTGAAAATTAGTGTGCCTGAAGTCTTGGACCTATTATGACTTTGGAGACTGACTATGAGGGATTTCATCAGGGTCAATACTTGACAGTTTAGTTGTTGAAGAACAGTTTTAAAAAATTCTTAATGGTGTTAGAAAGGACATTACCATCTTGAATGGTTATCATTGGTTTTGTTTCTTTGTGTGTTTACAGAGACACAGTGACCTAGTATTTTAAATTTAAAGCCAGTCATATAATGAAAACAGGTTTTTCCTCAAAGATTGTATTTTCTTATCTGTTGATGAAAAAGAGCCTGGAAAAGACTATTCTTCACCATCCAAATTAACTCTTGATTCTGTCTCTCAAAAATACAGTAGGGTAGGATCTAACTTGTGCCTAAAATTTCACATACCTCCTAAAGTACCTGGGAATTTTTTATAACAAAGGAGAGAACTTCGTGACTTTGAAGGCTTCCAAAAGGAAATTCTGAAAACTGGGCCAGAAACCCCGATTTTTCCCCCCAGTTGGAACAACCATATTCATAGAGAACATAATTTGAAGGATTTTTAAAGGTAAATGCATCTCTCTATCTGCCCTAGAAAGATTCCTTTACTAGCTCAGGTTAGGTGGGAAATATCCCAAAGACCCTAAAATTTTCAAGAAAGCTAACCAGAATGGCATCATAAAATTTTCTGCAGGAGAGGCTCCTCATGCTCACAGACCTCAGAGACCAAAGCGCTTCAAACAATGAAGCTTCATGAACAATCTGTTCTAAAAATACCCCTATATCTTACAACTGCTTTGGTCTACATTAAGATGATGGTTATTATCTTCTGCATTGTACATGAAGTGCCAGAACATGAACATTTAGGATGTACTAGATATAAAATTAACATTAGGTAGACACCACTCAATCTTACAAGTGTTGCTAATGTTATAGTAAGTGACCATTTAAGTCTGAAAACAAAGGAACGAGTTTGGATCTCATAACATTTTTCTAGGTCTAAAAATTGGCAAGGTCCAAAAATCTACAAGACACTTGCATTTTCAGTCACACATACTAAAATCATAGATCTAAAATCTAAATCCAGTCTTTGTTTGCTATTATAAAGTATAAACTTGCAAACAAACAAACAAGTGCTAAAATAAATGCGAGTAGAACACATACACATCATGATACAAATAACTGTCTCAAATATATACTAGGTCTTATCAATGACGCCTGTGTGCTTAAGAAAAAAAAAAAAGGCCAAGAAAAATGTCTAAGAGAAAAATCTCACACCCTAGAGCTTTGTGCTTCCATTATAGTTAATGCATTTGAAGTATTAATTTTACATTCCTGCATTACATATAAGCAAATTACTTGAAAACACTGAGTTTTTATTTATGCACGCTGCAGTACTTCACAGCTCTACAGATGGTTCTTTTATCACTGCCCAAATTTCTTTTTGAACTTTTACTGTATTATGAGTCTTCTAAACAGCTGTGTTGCATTTTTGACCTTACCTATTCAGGGTGTTACTCTCAAGAAAGTGAGTATTCAGCAAGAAGCAGGAGCCCACGCAATGTTTCAGCTGACCTTTAACTGAGCGATGTGCTAACACTAGCTCTATTATACATTTTATTTATTACTAAACAATAAATGCCTACTTAAGAGCTGCAAACCTTGTATTTCTGTTGTTTTCATTACTGGAAGAGAAACAGATCATGTTCTGAACCAACCAGAATGTAAATTGGAAATATGTTTTTAAATGTGGGGTTTTCTTCCCCAATATCAATTAAAACGACATTACTGTATTACAACCTTACCTCGGAAACAATTTTTCGCAATGTTAAGAGAAGTACGGCCAGATAACACAGAATCACCTTTAATTCATTGTGTTTTACAGAATTATTCCTATTTCTTTTGCATGAAAAATCACACAGAGAAATGGCATTTCCAATTAAATGAATGGATTTCTTGAAGAAAAAAAAAGGAAAAAAAAAAAAAAGAAAATGTAATGCTACAAATAGCAATCAAATAAAAGCTTTAAAAACAAAAATCCCAGAACTGAAAAAGTTAATAACGAATGAACTAAGGTTAGCAGCCAGTGGTGGCCAAGTTCAGGGAAACACACTCCATAGGAATTCATAGCTTCCTCTTCATGTTAATGAAAGATAGTTTTAAATAAGAAATTAACTTTATAAAAGCACAGTTATATTTTCATACACATGCCTACTTAAAGCACATGAGAATAAGGAAAGTCTTAGCAATGGAAATACATAAGTACAGGAAAGTATCAAAAAGAACATCAAATAAGACAAGTAGAAATCTCTTACTGGTTCTTTCAGGCCTTTGAACCATCCTAGTCTTCTTATTCTGAATTCCACTTTCATGAAGTGCCTTAAACCAGTCTCTCAATCTGTTTGCAACCTCCCTGAATTCCAGGTCACTGCACACTGAAAAACAAAATGCAGAGCTGTTTAATGTTTTCTTCCTGGGTGCTAAATTGAACTTTCCAAACTATACTAAAAAAAGGCAAAACATGTAAAATACATGTTCCACAGTTTTCTTTAATTCATAAAGTTCAGTTTCATTACTTAGCTTTGCCTCCAAAACCCAATTAAGTCCTCAGAAATAAATGCTGATTTATAAAGCAGTTATGAAGTTATATATATATCTAGAGATTAAAAACATCCTTTGCAAACTACTATAAGCAGTTCTAACACACGCATTTTCACATCTTACTGTAGATGAGGCTGCATGGCAGAGACATGCATGACAGTCTTTGGAATTTCATTTCTATGTTCATTAAAGCAATAGTAAACGAAAGTCCTACCAGAACAGGTCAGAGATGTGATTTAGGGAGATAATGGAGGAACACCCAACTTGCTTTCCTATGCTGAAGATGTGTAAAGAGGAAATAGGGTTGACAGAGAAAGTGCTTCAAGACTGTCCTGAAAGCTTATTTGGGTGAACATAGTTCAAGCAGCCAGGGTTTGTGAGCACCTCACTGCCAACAGGCCACTTGCTGACAGAAAGAATGGCTTCTTCGACCAGAAACAGCAAAGGCAGACCAAGCATGCAAGACCAAAGACAACATCCGTAGCACCAAGAGGAGCAGATCAGCAGCAGACTGGCTGAAGTGTTGTACAGTACTACAGGTAGTTAGTACTGGAGCCAGCAGCAGAAGCAGATATGCAGTGAGGAGGCCTATTCGCCTTCACTATTAAGCTGCTGGAGAAGGCAAAGAGAAGGTGTGCTTGGAGCAAGTGGATATTCCTTCCAGAACCCTTGTTTTCCCATTTCATGTGTTTCACAGAAGCTGGGAGAAGACAAGAGAAATAGTAAGATCCAGGAGATGACAAAAGTAGGAAAGGCACTGGATTTACGCTTGCCTAGGTAACAAAATACCTTCCACCACCCTTGTCAGCAGTTACAACTTCCAATTCAGGATCATTTTCCATGCCTACCAGTAACCGCCTAAGCTACAGTCTGAGGACTCATTCCCAAGTCAGCAGAGCTTCACAGTAACACACTTGAAAATAAATCTCCAGTTCAGCTTACTTTTCCTTTGTTATGTAGCAATCAGTAATATTTGGTGAGCCTTCAGCACACTTCATTAAACCAAACAACACTGTGAAACACCTATTTGTAGTTCAGAGCAAGACTGAAATATGTCATTAAGTCAACAGCTATCAATGCCTGTACAACAGCAGGCATCCAAGTATTTGTTTATTCATTCCTTGCTGAAGCCTCTCTTGAGAATTTGGTTCTCTCCATGAATGACTTAGTCAAAATCTATATTTGTATTTGCGTATATTATGAACTGATATTTTTATAACACTTGTGCTTTTCTCTTGTGTAATGAAACTTCTTTTTTCTGATAATTCGATAGGGAAAGGTAGATTTTTTTTTTTTTTAATGATATATGGGCATGTATGGTCAAATATGTTGTATCACAACAACTAGATGAAAATGGTCTCCTGAGCCAAGACTACACATCATAATTCAAACTGGTGGGATTTCTACATTGCCTACAATGACACCTTCCTTTTACGAATCCTTGCACCAGCTCACAGGTCAGCATAAAGAACCAAATATTAATTTGGGACACTCTGCTCCTCTTTAATTTCTCCTCCTTATTATAGGTGAAATAGAACAATATTGTTCCCTTCTCTAACTACTCACCCTTGGTTTAAGAAAAAGACTTTTAGAACTGAATCAGAGGATGTGGAGCATAGCACAATCATTAGGGGCACCTGACTTGCCATCTAACCGCTTTGATTCATCCACCCTGCCCAATACTGTGCAATACCACCACAGATCCCAGAAATAACATAGCTACATTAATCTGGTGCATGTACCTGGCTACTTTCGTCGACTTCTAACTTGCCTGTATGCAGTGCTACTCTGATTAACCTCTGATGCTAAGGTGACCTCCTCAGAGCCAGCATGTAAGCTCATTTACAGGTAGAGACATACGCATATATCCATGTATATATGTGTGTGTGTGTGTGTGTACATATATATAAAAGGGGGAGAATGAGGAAGTGCCAGCTACAAGTAAAAGCTCATCTTGAATAACATTAACGTAAAGATGAACATGGCAGCTGCGTGATGGAGAGAATATATGGATTCCTCCCTTCTGCAGAAGCAGCCAAATAGATATACTGCAGCTGATTGTCTCCTAAGCTCATTAAAAACAAAGCACTAAGAAAAGGAGATAGTGCCCCTTTGGCTATTAGGTAGAAGAATAAAACACAGCTTGCTTTTTCAGCATCTGGTATTAGCCACCGTCATGCACAACATGACATAAAATTACATTTTCTGTGCTCCTTGTGTTCATTTCAAAATGGAAGGTACATTTAACACATTTTGGACATCAGACACATCCCACATCAGATCTCAAGTTAGGGGTATTCATCCAACTGCAACTTCTTATAACCCTTTTCCCAAACTTTGCTTGACAATTTAAATGATGATTTTTATCTCAAAAGTGCTTCAAAGATTGTACTTCTAAATGTACTATGATTAATATTTCAAAGATAATCCAAATAAATGTCATCAGTATTAACACAGTACACGAAACATTCCAACTTGCACGAACCTGCTTCTATGTCAAGTTACAAACACATTACAACAGAAATCAGGTATTAGCTTTTTTGCATGTACTTACATTGGGAAAATAATCTGGAAAATGCTCTATAGCTGTCATACATATGCATAGTAAATTAGAAAACTGAATATAACCATAATGTTACATGGCAGAAGCCATAGTTTACAAATTTCCATTAAAGTGGGTTTTTTCGGTATGCATGGGTATCTAAAAGCAAATTCCAGGACAATTCAAGATCAGTGTTACTCTTTAACAGCTCTTTGTACAGCTATGCTTTACAACCATGTTTCAAACTTATTCATAAGAATAGGGGCTACCATATCCTAATACATCATGAATGCTGCTTGTTTTAATGTTGGTTTGGACATTAGCTTTTTTTTAATTTGGATCAATCTGATCAGACTGCAACAAGTGTTAAGTGGCATATCAAGTAGTCATTCTCAAGTTATGAGAACAGCATAATTTCTGGCTTACAGGGCAAGTACCATACTCAGGTACAATCTAGGGGGAAATTTTGCCTTAAGAACTTCTATATGTAGTGCAAACTTCAAACAGACTATTGAATACTAAATATGGCCTAAAATTATCTACGTTCTATCTATATTCTCTATCAATCTGCTGAACAGAGTTGTCTCAAGTCTTACCATCTTGAAAAAAGTCCATTAAAACAAAAAGTATCTGTTTTCAGGAAGAAAATATCTTTGATAACAGAAAAAAACTGGGCAAACAAAGTCTGGGAAGTAGGACTTCGGGGAGCTTGGTGATGGGCCTGTCAGCTTTAATGTAATGAGAGGTGGGGAGGATTCACTGTATTGAGACTTTTGGATAAACTTTTCTTTCCTTTTCTCTCACTTCCTAAATAAGTCCTGTGCTTTCTGCTTGTCATCTCAATTTCCTGTGCTTTCTACCCTGGAAAAAGAACAGGCCCATATCTGAGTAACATTCAGCCACTGTAAGGACTAGGTGTGGAACAGGATGTCATAGCTTCCTGTTCTCATCCCTGTCTTGGGTACACAGACTACTGTTTCAGGAAAGTAGCTGTCACTGGCACTACACTTCTGGTTTACCACCTTCTCACTTCCATGGAAGTAGCAGTGACATGTCCAGAGAAACTGTGTGATGGGCTATTTGGGCTAAGATCCTGCTCCCGCAGCAGCCTGACACCCCAGTCTCTTCCTTCTTTCAGCATTACCTTGACAACTAGGCTTGTACAGCAGTAGACTGACCACAGCACAATGGTGTTACACTGTGCATCAGCCCAGGGTAAGATTATTCACTTTATAAAACATCTTACAGTTTCAGTGAACCAGACAGCAGGTAATGCAATTAATGTCTGAAATACTTTGAAAATTATTTGGAAATTAAAATATTTTCTGCCTAAACTTAAAAAAGTAGGAAGCATCCAAGTTTCAAAGCACGAAGGAAGCAAAGTTCAGATTACCTAAGAGCAAATTCATTATCAAAAGAAGACATGTGATAATTATATTACTGTCTTAAGAAGCATAAAGCAAGCAGAGTTGATCAAAAGTTAGAAAAATCTACCTCCATTTTTGCCAAACGTTTTCAGTTAGTAAATTCATTTATGAAAAAACACATATTTAGAGGATAGCCAGCAATGACTTCTCTGTACCCATGTCACCATGGACAGAAAATATTTAGGTAAGAAATATAACTGCTCACACAAAACATGAGTATGGTCTAATTGCTCACACATTCAGTCCAGCAAAAAAAGAATGCTAAATATATAAAAGTAATGCTAAAAAGTACATTGATTTTTGCCACACATATCACTGTCTGTGAACATATGATTAAAATTACTGGAAAATAACAGAATTTCTTAGGTCATTCAAGGAATAAAAAAGGTGGTGCTTAGATATAAGCTTTGTTTGTTATCAGCTCTTTGAGTATATCTATATCAAATTAGTACACAGATTCAAGATCACTGTAAGTATAATATTACTATGCAATTTTCCCTTCCTTTTTGTTTCATAATAAAATCATATTTCAATACTGTGACCAAAATTACTATGGCAATGTTTGTACATTCTGAGTAAATGAAGGCCCTCAGACTAAAGAAAGAATCCCATTAATGTTCCATGAACTGAGGCAACCATACATACACAAACTGAAGCTTCTTATCATCAGCGTTATTAAAAAAGTATAAAATCCTTTCTAACATTTTCGACACGTTAAAAATATGATTTTGAATGTCAAGTAACTTCAACTATATGAAAGTTTTTTTCTAAAAGCACTTATCACACCTCTGACTTTTGATCCTGTTTTGACACAAAAAAAGGAAAGAAGTAGCAAAATAACATTTAAAACAGTAAAATAAATAAT